TTTTAACAAAAGAGGGTTTGGTGTGCTCAAGATGAACAGAAAAGGGTTGCTGTGCTGTTTCTTTTTAAGCTTATTTTAATCTTAACGTATCTAATTAAATATTAAAAGGAGACAAAAATTAAAGCAAAAATTTAAAATATATGTACATATCTGAAATTTTTAAATAAAATATATATATATTCACGAGAGACAAAGTAAATAAAATGGGTTAACTTTAGGGGAAACATACTTATCAGATTGGGTCAGATAGCGCTTTTACGTTATAAATAAAAATAATTCCTACTTAAATTTTATATAAGTTTGGTGCGGTATTTCTAAGCTGACCCTGAGATCTGTGAAATAATACATATTTATGTGCATATATTATGTTGATTATGCTCCAAATCGCTAAATAATTCTTGCAGCAATCAGCACCATTGGAAATTTTCGGAAAGTAGAAATAAACTAGCTCAAATTTATTCAATTATTAATAAAAGAAATTGGAGACGAACGTACAATTGGGACGATGTTTTCTGCATCCGCAAACGAATGTTTGTTTGATGAATTAGGTTATTGGCCTGGCGTCTAATGAAGCATTATCGTCATGATTAATGTTCAATCTTTTTTTTTATTAACTAAATCGGTTTCTTAAACAAATTTCTATTCAAATATTATTCTTTTTCGTTTTTCAACTTACTTCACCGCATGGCCGAGAAGCCATTTTGAGACAGAAAATAAGTACATAAAATAATTCAAAAATAAGCGATTGCTTTTTCTTAAAATTTCAGACCTTTTATTTAGATTTGATTGAACAAATCGAATAAAAGGTCTGAAATTTTAAGAAAAAGCAATTGCTTATTTATTATCGAACAAAATGTCTGAAATTTTAAGAAAAGGCAATTGCTTATTTATTATTCCTAAAAGTGAAAGTACATAACATGCATTGCGTCGCCGTCACCGGCAGTTGTCAAAAAAGCTGATTCGGTGTATTTATATGAAGTAAGTTACGTGAGCAAGCTGACGGTGACGGTGCCGCAAAAATTAGCTCAACTCTCAATTTTGCTTATGCGATTGCGTCAAATGACAACTATTCAGTGTTTTGTTTACATGTTTGAACGTAAATTTTTCCAGTTTGTGAAAATTTTAATATTTATGGAAAAACGAAATGTAAAAAATAATGGAGGAAAACCTAACAGAAGAAGTGAAAGACTAAAATGCAAACTGATGGTATGTACTAAAGTCCAGCGCAAGTGTATTTGCCGCATTTCATTCAGTTAGTAATCCTTGCATTGTACTCTACTCCTAACACATTAGGGGTATTCTCGAAGTCTTGCACGATGCACGGATTGCACGAAATGCAAAAATACTATTCCAAATTTCGAAGAGTACGAGAGCACCCCATCACAAAGTGATAGCATGCATGGGATGCAAGCATCGAAATTATGTATCAAATACAAGAACAAGAGACAACAAAAAAAAATGAAGTGAGCGAGATGAGAGGAATGAGAAAAATATGTACCAATTCCAACAACAAAACAACTAGCAGAGGGTCGCATTTATCTTGCTATGCTATTTTGCAAAATATATACATGGGTTTCGACGTTGCATATTTTGCAGCGAAGCAAATGTTGTTTCAAATGTATTTTGTTGTTGTGTGTTTGCAAGTTATGCAATCCATGCAATCCGTGCTACGTGCAATGGCTTTGCAAGATTTGGAGAATACCCCTATTGTTACTCTTTTTCCGCATACATATACTACTTGGCGTTGAGAGAGTAAATACTTGACGTACTTGCTGTTACTCCACCAAAGTACGTACTCTACTTTCTCTTATCGTGTACGAGAGATGTTTGCTGCTGCCAAAAGGAAGTAGCAAATCTACTACTCTCTGTATACTTGTAGTACTGTAAGTACTTGCGTATTAAATTTCATTTCTGGTTGTTAGCGTACTAGTTGATATCGTTTGCGGCGCTGGTCAGCGAAATTGAAAGAGTAAAAATAGAATATGGAAATTGACAATGTAAGGTAATGTTTACGGCCTTATTTATAAAAAACTAGCTTATACCCGCGGGTTTCACCCCGCGCTTTTATACAAATATGAAAAATAATTTAATGATGTTAGATTTTATTTCTGTGCCCATTTCGTTATAGCTCGTTATTTTTTAAGCGAGTTAAGGTATTTAGGCCGTTTAAAACTATGAAATTATAAAATCTCGTCTGCGCGCTAGGCATACGAAAGATATCAATCCCTCTAAGCTTACCTTAAAATGGTTCCAGGTAAACGGCGCGTGAACGTGTAACCTTCTTGGAGGTGCCACGGCGGGTTCTAATATTGCCAACTCAAATTTAGTAACCTGGCCTTGATAAAATACCACTTCTCATTACTGTAGCAAATGCCTCAAGAGAGCTTTAGATTACAAGGCCGAACCCGGCTCTCCCTTTTCCATTTAATGAAATTTATTCTGTCAGTACGGCACTTATAAAATAAATCTCCATAACAAATTTTAAATACTTCGAGAGATCTTCTATCCTTCCAGAGATATGTATTAAGAAGTTTTTAGTATGTATGGGAGGCGACATGCCTCCTCTTTTAATAACTCACATTTTTTCCATGAGCAGTTTATACATTTTGCATTCACAACTCCATACCAAGTTCCAGTATTCTTCAACAAACACTTCCAGGGAAATGTGACAAGAAAAAGTAAATTTGTACTGGAAGTGCCACGCCCCTTTTTCTTATAACCCTAATCTTCTTCCATGAATTTAGAATTGATTTTACATATCCCAGTACCAAGTCCCAGTACTCTACCATGAACACCTCTAGAGATAAGCAGTATAAAACAGTAAATTTGTACGGCAGGAACCATGTCCCTTTTTCGAAGAAAGCAAATTCTTCTCCATGAGTATGGAATTAATTTTGTATACACATCTCGGTGCCAAGTTCCAGTCCTCTGCAATAAATACCTCCAGAGATATGCAGCATAGAAAAATCAATTTGCATGGGAGTTGCCACACCACCTTTTCCAATAACTCTAATTTTTCTCCATGAGTATGGTATTAGTTTCACATACATACATACATATGTATTTCCATACCAAGCTTGAGTGCTTTACCCCAAACATTTGAAGAGATATGCAATATGAAACTTTCAGTCAGTATGGGAGGTGCTACGCCTCTTTTCCAAACAAGTCCATTTTTTCCGTGAATATAAACATGATTTCACACAGTGTTGGCAAACTGTTAATCTGATTAACGACTAAACATTAACGATTAAAATGTTAATCGCGTTTGACGATTAACATTAATTAGTCGTAATCAACTGTACGATTAATGATAACATTTTTTTAATCGTTAATCGCTGGCTGCGATTACGTTTAAATAATTTAAAACATTAATCGTTAATCCAATTAAAAATAAAATCTGATTGATTTGTCTAGTTTGTCCGAGTTTGAAACCAAATACTATAACTGGTAATTATTTTGTGTTTTACGCTTATAAAAAGTACATAATATAAAAAAATTGTAATTATTGTTATTAGTAATACATAAACTGGGAACTTTTACAAACCTAGTTTGTAAAACGTTTGTTGGTATATATCTTCATGAAATGCACACCAAATTGCTTAGATTGATGAGAAAACCTGATATAGCCATACCGGATTAACTTGCTTTGCGTGCACAGGGAAATTCCAGCATAACTTAATTAATCACCAAACCTACTTGATCAAATTAAGAGTTAACGATTAAAAATTAATTTTTTAATCGCGGTTACGATTATCTGTTTAGTCAGATTAAAATGAATTATGATTAACTGTAATCAGATTGAATTTAATCGAATTAACTAACTGATTAAAAAATGCCATCATTGATTTCACATACATATCACTATACCAAGCTTCAGTTCTCTCCCACAAATACTTCCAGAGATATGTATGTAATATGAAAATTCCGATTTGTATGGGAGGGGCCTTGAGTTATCGGACTTACGTTCAGTCTAATACCATCTTTCCGAAATCCGTAGTAAGGGTACTAAATTTCGTTCTGATCGGAAAACCGGTTAAGGAAGTAGCCTATTTTTCAATCCAGGTCATAAACCATCTTTGAACAAAATTTCATTTTCAAACAGGTGGCATTCTTAAAAAAGTAGCCTATTTTCCAGTCTAGGTCATAAGCTATCTGTGTGCAAACTTTCATGCAAATCAGTTCAGTCATTTACGCGTATTAATTTAATTAAACTTTCCTTATTGTGATAACTCTTAAAATAGTAACCTATTTTCCAACATAGGTCATAAGCTATCTCTGTGCGAAATGTCATGCAAATCTGTTCAGTCGTTTCCGCGTATTAATTTAATTACAACTTTTTTAAGAGGTGGCAACTCTTCCAAAAATTAGCCTATTTTCCACAGTAGGTCAT